AGATAAACAAAGTTCATTTCACTTATCGATTTGTTCATAATAGATGAAATATATTTTCCACAGTTAAATAAATGATGATACTGACTGACTTTGTTACACTTTCAGAAGAAAATTGATCAAAGAATATAAACTTTATATATATCAAGAGCGGTTGGATCAATGAAAAATATACCTTTGCTTCCGTGTCTTGCCTTCTGTTGTTACAGTACAATTACTCTTATTACTGCATAGTGTAGAAGTGGTAGTAGTATTTATCTCATAGCATACTGGCAGATAAAATGCACATTTCCATGATACGTTCCATTTCAACTTGACATTACGAGGTAAGTGGTGCCTAACAGCAGACTACACAAATCGTCTTCACACATATTTTACACTCGTCCATCAATTGGATTCATGCAACTCCTCCATCATACTAAGTGATCATATTTCCATTCAGACTGTCGACCACCACAACATCTGGAATCCATACCTTGCTACACATGAAGAAAAACACTTTACCATTTCAAAACATCACCGCTTACTTCATGACTGTTTCAGTGGACACACTATTAGTGCAACTACGTACGCCTATCTGAGAAGTCTCACATATGACGAAACGCACATCTTCAACTCCAGTATTTCCAATAATCTACCAAACGTCGAATAATATAATATAATAATATAATATAATATAACTCTACATTCCGATGGACAACTAACTGTTATCAACACACTACAATATGCTACACCATACGTCAACTTGAAATAATCGAGTTTGTTCAGTTGAAGCGAATAACTAAACGTGAGCAGCTTTCATGTAACAATTTAAACTAACCGTCATAGAAAGTGAAGAAAGGTCATTCAAAAAGTCTTGTACAAAAAATATGTATTGCTCTACCTGCCATCACAGATTTATCAATCAGTAATAGTAATAATAATTTGTCACATCAAAGAAAACAATCGCATCACCACGATCAACAATTAAAGCACAACCAAACAGAAGAAACTTCTACTAGTTTAGTCATCAATAAAAAATTAAATAATATACACAAACAATAAATAACATCGCTCACTCTGTCATCCAATACCACACTCTCTCATCAACAAGATCGTTTATTCAAAATATCAAAATAAAGATGTGTCTGATTTTCAATATATATCAAAAGGCAAATAGTGTGTGTGTGGGTGAGTGTATCGGTGTCTGGGTATATGTACATCTGGAAAATATGTTGCAATGAACAAGGGAAAAGTTCAAAGAAATAAAAACGAAGCGGCACCACCACCGCCACCAGCAGAATTGTATATACACGACGAAAAAGAAAAAGCGAAACTCTCGTGTTTACTATAGTCATGTCCATCATCATTAAGGATGTTAGCTAGTTCGTTATTGCTGTTTCCCTTAGTCCCATCTCCACCACACCACATCATATTATACCATAGAAAGCAGATGAACATCTCGTTGAATTCAATCATCAGTGTATCATTCCATGTATGGACAATGCGAATTCCAATGCAATTGAAACTCAGTCTTATCCGTCGAATGAAATTCACACAATGGACACTTGCCTTCCACCCGACTAGCTGAATCACATTTATTCCTCTCCTAAATGTCACAAACAGCAGAAAACAAAGAAAAATACATCGGGTGAATATTAGAACTGGGAATACACGCACACGCGTTCAAACTCCAGTCTTTTATAAATACCAAATAAAACTATCCAACGATCAAAATAGTAACATGATTATTAAAACTAGATAAAATAAAAATAGGAGAACATGCAGGTGCCACGCACAGATACCCACGCACACCAATTAATGACCATATCAGTTGGTGGTAGATGGATGGATGCTGACTGGGACCCAGTTAATTACACATTCTAAACAGTTATCTTCACGTCCCACGAAGAAAATCAGACACACTTCAATCTCATGTTTACCATCAAAACTTCATTTGTGTGTCGTATTCTCACAGGTGAGAATTCAATGACAACAAACACAGATATAATGCTGTCATTCAATTCAAACGATTCATCAATCATTATTGTACACCTCATGGTCAACGCCTATCCTAACAAAATATTCGAACACACATATCAACGACATAAAATGTAGTTTTCCTAATATTGTGGTCTTAAAAGCGCTCCGAATAGAAATACTGTTGACAAGCATAATTGCTAGTTCACTACTCCACACACTCACTACACTGGAAGCATATTCTCTGACTGAATTCTCTTCTTCCACCATTCGACCTATTGGCTCGTCGTCGTCGTCAACATTTCACTTTCTTCTTTAAAACCTCATTCTCCCCTTCAGTGACCTTGGCTAACTAACAGATTCTACTACCCCGACGACAAATAGGAGAAGAAAAAGAAAACTATAAAACTCAAGTTTCGAAGTCGTGTGATTATAATTGATATGATTATGAACAATAAGTTTTGTTCGAAACGTCATCATCCAGTTAATAATACTGTTGGTATTACATGGTTGCAGGCAATCGGCCACAGGAAGCCTCCGACCTAGGTTTCGTGCTAGTTGGCACTCATCAGCAAGGCGTATCTGCTACCTTGAAGGAACTGATGTCCCATCTGAGATTCGAACCGGCGTCACCCAGTGCTGCAGTCAGAGACGTTAACACCGAGCTATTCAGACTCGACTGACAGGAGGTCTCCTGTAGGACTGTATTGGATATTTTTGATTGCACACTAGTCACTAACTGGTGTAATGTGTCTAGTCCTATCTTCGGTGCAGACTGAATTCTATCAGTCATGTTTGCAATGTGGCCACCTAGCATAGTAAATAATACTGTTTCACTGTGTGATATATCTAATAAATAAACTAATATGGAATTATTTACTAACACAGTACCCAAGTTTTACACTTATATTAACAGATTTACTCCAGCATTCACCATATCGATAGCCCACCTGAAACAGTTCTTAGTGCATATGTGCAACCAATTCACAGAAGCATTGATTGATGGACTGAATTATGATTATCAAGTTGAAAGACAACATAAAAGCCAACATGGGTGTACAAACACCCTAACACATCGGCTACAAAATTCCTTTCAAGGTGTACTTTGTCACCTACGGATATCATTTCCCCAATCTATGGAGAACTACACCTACTTCATTTACTCCTACATCGCCACTCAAATTCATTTCAACAAACCATAGTTTACACTTAACACACATTTCATGAATAACACCTCAAATGAAGAAATAACACACCAAAAAATACAGTAGAATACAATACAGTGATCGACGAAAATTATTGAGGTACCCACACTCAACAAATGCACACTGACAACACAAAATAAATCCTAGTAATGAATAACTCAAATGAATACACGCTAGAATAAAAATCAATATACACAAACACATACACACAAATATACGCCAATACTCACCTCATCCTGCACCAACTCCTCACATCCACTGACTCCTTCACATTCAGTAACATCATTCACACCAACATCACTCAAATCACACACACCTTCATTACTCAACCTCTCATATCCATGATTCATCACACTACTCGGTGGAGTCGGAGGATGGTCAATTCCCACTCCAGGAAATCCACTCTGTGGGAAATAACCATACAATATATCTCCTTCTCGAGGTGCATGATACTTAACTATCCTCAACAGCGCCTCATTGGGAAGGTGAGAGACATGACGACCCAATGGACATCGACGCATATGCTTCGCGACATCCCATTTCCACTTGGCTCGATACTGACAGTAACAACAGCCAAACATCCGATGCTCAGAATGGTTCACCATATGAGCACGCAACTCACTGAACCAACGAGCACGAAATTTGCACACGGGACAGATGAAGGTGGACTCCGACGCATCACTCTTCTTCATTCCATCTTCGCCACTGAATGACACTTCTTCACTCATTCGTCTAAACCATATTTCTTTCTCACTCGTCACATCATCTGCATGACGGGATTCACATGAAGAAGCGAACTCACTATCCCCCATTTTGCTACTCACTTCAACACCTACACACTTTCCTTCTTCTTCTTTTTTATTTTTATCTGTGATCCTTAACATTTCCACACTCGAAACACCACTCTCTGTTGCCCATAGTCCTGAGTCACCTACACAACCATGATGTAATGCATTGTCAGGCAATGGTGGAAAGTGTTCAACAGACACTTGTCCTAAATCTCTCATATTCATCGTGTTCAACACACCTAAACCAGACAAATCTGAATGACATTCAACACTCCTCACTCCACCCACATACGCGTTATTCGACAAAGATGATTCAACCCATGTACAATCGCCCGACACATCAAGTCTCTTCTCACCCAATCTAACCAACAAACTACCAATAGCCAACAGCAAACTCGAACATGTCTCCGATAACTTCATCGAGTCACCAACATTCTCATCAACCTCATTCTCCACAATATTCACTGCTGTCTCCAGCATACCGATCAGCAGGCTGCGACTAATACGCGTCGCCTTCTTCCTACTCCCACTACCCTCTTCCTCTGAAGACACAAATTTACCTCCAGACACTTTCTCCACCTCACACGTCTTCACCGAACAACTCCCTTCACCATTCACTCTCCTACTCAAATCACCTCTCCCCTCACTGCACTCACTACTCCCATCTGACACTCGTCCGTCTAACTCACACTCAATTCCTCCTCTTGTATTCAACGGCTTCACAACTGACAAATCGAGTGGTTCCATTCCTTCGCCAGATACTCCACCTTCACATACATCCACACACTTCACATCAAACCGACTCGGACCACTCGACGCCAACTCACTATCTCCGATGCTCTTCCTAGACACCTCTGGATGCTTCTCATTCATGCAACTAAAACGACCATCTCTCACAGATGGAAACACACTGTGTCTTCGCTTACTATCCACATTCACATTCTCACTCCCATCCATCGGTGATCTCACACGCTTAACTCCACATTCAGAAATCCGCTTGTGCATTCCACCTTGACCACTTGGAGACGACGAACACGGAACAACTGATAACCTCCTACGTCCAGTAACCAACAAACGATTCTGACAATCCATCGGGGCTGAAACACGTCCACCATGTCGCATCTCCATCATATCACCACCACCACCTCTACCTCCTCCTCTCATCACATTCACACTCACACCCCAACAATCACCAACCGAATTCTGTGATCTCACCACTCCATAACCTGATGACACGTTGCTTGCATTGGGTGGTTGATTTTCACAATCTTCATCTCCCATCGTGTAAATTGCCCCCAACGAAGCGGGTGTGTTCGTATACCTGACATTCGCTTTATTGCAACCGATATTCTCAATAGATGAGAGAGGTCCATTGGAACTTGTCGCCATCGTCTTGACATCACCTTCACCACAATCATCGCCATCTCCTTCATACTCTGCATCATCTCCATCTTCGTCACCATCACCGTTGTCTATTTCACCATCGACTCCAGGGTTATCCTCACCCCCTACCTTCTTCATCAACTCTGAATAGTGTTTATCCCTCCAGTGTTTATTCAATGATTTTTTGTGTTTATAACTGGAGCCACACAGTCTGCACAGATATACTTTTGAACCGTCACTCTTCTTACTCTAGATAACAATAAGAAGAAAATTGAGATGAAAGGATAATAAACACCTGATGAATCATTCAGTCAAATATCACTGACACAGTTAACTTTGACTTATTTACTTATTCACATAACATCATAATTATAAGTATGTGTGGAAATGGTTCAAATTAGTGGAACATTAGTACACTAGCTGATTCATCCATCCATCTATATCGAATTTATGACACGAAGTTCATTTCCAGTCTTCCCTTTTTAAGGTTAATCATCACCTTCATCATCATCACATGATGAAATACGCTATTCTACATGAATTATCAATGTTAACTGTTGTCCATTAAATCTAACCTTTAATCAATATACTACTATTCACACTGGAATGAAACTTCATTCTGTCGAATTTATGACATGAAGTTCATTTCAAGCCACCATCATCATCACATGATGAAATACGCTATTCTACATGCATTTTCAGTATCCGTTAGTTCCAACCTGTAGTCAATACATGATTACTAACAATATAATGAAACTTCATTCTGATTAACATTCACCAATTACTAGTGTCCTAGGTTGTTTGTTTTCAGTGTATTCTGCAAAGTGACATATGGCGACAAAATCCTCTTTACTAATGGGAATCACTCTTCATATTTAGGCGAACACATATCAATATTCCAATATGTGAAAACATGGATACTTTTTGAAAAATGAAATGTAACCGTTGACTCATTCCTCATCACACACCAATTGATTCGAAATATTGTTACTTCAGTCATTGAATGAAAGTGGAACCTACATTTTGAATGACTATGGAATATAATAAATGACTCGTGAAACTAGTGGTCAACTGCAATTCACAATCTTATAGAAGACCATTTCTAACCTCTATCAAATCGGTATTACCATGATTCCTTGTAGTGTTTGAAGGATGTAACTGTTCAACTGTCTGCAGCAACAATCATATCTGTCTCTCTACTTCTTAGTCGATATTCTGTATCTCTTTCTCCCTACTTCGAATATCTTGTCAGTGTGCATGAAACACTTGTCAGAAGCATTATGGAATACAACATTCGTTTCCCTATCATGTAGTCAGGTGACTATACACAGAACATACACAAAGCAATCTTCCCCTAACAACAAGCTGATCGATGCTTAGTAATCAATCTCAAACGTCTACTATAACTCACCAATTAGTAATTAATGGAAACACCTGGGAAGTGAGTCCACACAACCTGCATAGCTGGAAACCACTCCACAATTCAACCAGTATCTTTCACACACACATATGATGATAAACAACCACTACACACTCATACTATTTCAAATATTATACTGCCACTAATAAACATGCAATTCACACTCAGAATCTCTTCCTCATAGAAGTCAATGGTGATCTGTCTTACTACTACTACTTAATCCCGTCGGAAGAGAAGTGTGGATTTCAGGCTGAGTAGATCTCTCTCTCTGATGGATAGCATGGCATTATCATGCTTCCTGGACATTTGTGAAAATTAAACTACCCACACGGCAAATGGGAAGGAAGAACTAGAAGCATGTGAACTCGGTTTACAAGTTGTCCAATGACTACTCATATATATATATATACATATATATATATACATATATATATATACATATATATATATATATATATATATATATATCAAGTCTCGTAGCCATCCCCGTCCAAATGATCATGTTTCACAATATCATCTGTATATAATAAGTGAACTAATACGCAACGACTGCTGTCAACTGTCTGCAAGCACATCAGTTAGTAAACGTGGAAACACTGTAGAAAAGCATATTTGAACTCAATAAATGTGTAACAAACATAATCTACTATAGACAATGATTAACATCTGACAATCCAACATAACATGACATGACATGACAAGATTTAGCCTGTAGGGACTGATAAATAAATAAACAAACAAAAATAAGATATCAAAAACAAGGAAACTCAGTTTATAAACAGCAGTTATACGTCCAGGATGAAAATGAGAGGAGTCAATGCGAGAAGAATATTAAGAATTTGAGTAGGACAGAATTGAGAGTTGACGGGTTCTGTGGGGATTCATTTTGTTTCATCGTGTGTCCATGAATCACTCCTTTGACGGGTTGTGAATGGGTATTGCTAAAGAGCATTACACTTAGAAGGAAACAGTTGACCAGTTCTCTGTGTCTCTCGCTAGTATTTTCAACCATGAAAGAAATGAAATTCGATTACATGAATACCACATCAGAAAATGAAAAGTATGGTGAGACATTAGAGAAAATTCACAACAATCCAACTCGGATTACCTAATACAAGTACATGTGAATGAGTGACAAATGATGGCCATCAAGATAAACTAGTCACATAAACACATTCAAATATCAAATATGCGTTATACATACCAAACATGCTCAGAATCTAGACATGATTATTCGGCGACAACTAATCATGTCAACTGGTGGCTAATGAAACCACAATAGGCAGAGTAATTAGGCCAATGCATTACAACTCTGTACGATGATATCAAATAATTTAACGATAAGCAGGTCTCATAGTCATAGTCATAAATCTACAGAATCTGCACACCAGTTCACGATAAATTTGTTGTGTGAAACCATGATGTGAGTTCTACTCCATTTTTATATGATTAGAGGATATACAAGTGAAATATTGATGCAGGTGAAATCAAGTCAGATTCAAATGAAGACAAGAAAACCCAATTACGAATATCTGATTGACTTAAAAAATGTAAGAAAGAGAAACTAAAATTACTACTACTAATATTACACTGCACAGAATTCGAATTACATACAGTGCGTACAAAAATATACATACCTCATAAAATTTCCACGGTTCTACAGGTCGACGAATTTGATAACGAAAACCTCCAACTCCTCCTTCACAAATATTCCATATTTTATTCAAGTCAATCTGACCTAAGCTTTGGAAGACTGATTTGGGTGGTGAGGTTGATTTTACTGGGCAAGGAATATTCATAACTGTCGAGGGAAACATTGAAGACTGACTGGTGGATTGATGTCTCTCCAGTTGAGAGGAAGTAGGAGAACATTGTCTTTCCTTGATGACTGATGAATTGTCAAGGTTCGAGAGATGATCGCTGTCACTCTTGTCATATTTCACAACAGAAGAAGTGCTACTAGCATCACCATTATTTTCATACTGTTTCTCACTTAACGGATTCCGTATTCTCAATAATTCCGAAGTCATTTGAAAGTCAATATCATCCAGTGTGTTGTGTTTGGGTGAAAATTTCAATCTAATAATCCAAAAATATGAAGTCGTGTTTTGATAAATGAATCCTAGTAGAAATAATGAGTTGTGTTCCAACTGGGCAGATTGCTCTTTGAGATAAAATATACTATGCTATGAATGAATACATGAACAAATAAGTGAATCAATATATAAGTGTGTGACTTAGAGTGGTCTGATTGGATTGACGAATGATAAAGCAGCAGCTGGTTGGCCATTCATGATCATCACTCTTCCACCAATCTATGACTGTCTATGATTTGGTTTTCCTCTCCCTATACCCAACCCCACACTGTGTCTATTGTTCTCAGTAGACTGACTTTTGAGATCTGCTCAGGAGAATATGATGTTATGGATGGTGGTGATGTTAGTAAGGAAGAAAAAAGGCTATGAGGCATGATCCCCAACACACACACACACCCATACACGCCGACAAGCACATTAAATTGAGGGGATACACAACACACACACACAAATACACTCTAGCTTGGCATACATAGATGAATGACATTCTCCTAATGGTGACTTAACTGACAGACAACTCTCATACTGAATAGATTAGTGATTGTGATCAACACACACACACAGGCTTTTTTATGATCCTGTTATTTTCTACCAATCAGATATTTATTTCAATATTTCCATTTAGTTCTTCATGCTTCACATCTATCTATTCTGAGTGTTTTCAACTGCCTTTATGGCATTTTGACCTTCTCTAGGCATAACAAAAATGCGAAGCCTGTTCAATTCTCTGTTTATAATAATTTAATTTGTTTAATTTAATTGTTTGTCCTGCAGTTAATAATTGAGACAAATAATTATTTTCGTCACGAAACATCATGAATCAGAGAATGAATGGAAAGTTAGGCACATTGGATAGCAGTTTCGTCATATTTTGAGACTCTTCACCTGTGTCTCCATAGCACAGGGTCTTGAAAAATCCAAGACCTTCGTGACGAAATTTGCACTGAAATTTTTTCAAATATCCATAAGACGGAAAATGCTAATATCAATCTCCAACTCATCAGTGCTTAATGGGGGGGGTGGGGTGGAATGTCGTGAAGTTCGAATAAGAAGTTTCTGTGTCCACCATGTCTGAGTGAAGAGGATACCCACTCATCCATGTCATTAGCAAGTAGAATTTCTGTATCAAGAGTTGAAAAGTTGTAATCCACAGATGATTGAATTTCAAACTATTGGCTGAATGGTTAACCGGTTGGATGCAAAACCTGAATGAAGGTATTGACTTAGATCCATCGTGGGGCTCTTGGGTACAAACTGATGAAGTGTCCTTAGGTAGGACGAATCACATATCCAGTTCTTCTTGGTTTTCAGTGGTCTCCGTCTAACTGACGTCGTTCCATCTCAAAGTGTATTTAATGAGAATAAACAGAAATTAATATCAATCTCCATCTCACCAATGGCTATTGGCTGGATGTCGTGAAGTTCGAATAAGAAGTTTCTGTGTCCACCACGTCACTTTGAAGTGGGCGTCCACCACTCATGTCATTGTTTAGTGTAAGCGTTGTAGCAATAGTTGACAAAGTTGTAATTTTCTATAGTTTCGTTTGTAAGGATTAGATTTATTTATACGAGTTTCACGACAGATTGAAATCAGTTAGAGAACCATTGAAAACCAGTGAGTACTGGACAGCTGTTTCATTCTAGTTTGGGAATCACTGGCAGTACGCAACCACCACCGGGGTTCGAACCCAGGACATTCCGGTTACAAGGCAAGATCGTATACCATTCAGCCATTGGGACCCGATTCAGTGGCCAGTGGATGAATTCTAACTTCTACCAATTCGTAAGTTTCTTGGAGTTCTAGTGAAAAGTTTTAATTCACGGATCGTTAAATTTCAACCCATTGGCTGAATGGTTAACCGGTTGGAAGCAAAACCTGAATGAAGGTATTGATTTAGATCCATTGTGTAGCTCGTGGGTGGGCATCGCTAAATTGTCTCAAAGTAAGACGAAATACACATGTCCAGTTCTAATTGTTTTCAATGATTCTCGTCCAGTTGACGTTGTTTTGTAGCAAAATGTGTATACTGAAAATAATCAGAAATGACTACAAAAGTGGAATAATTATTTCCTGTAAATAATATGCCAGTGTCAACATTACATGGATTGGAATCGATGTCTTCACTCAGAAGTGTGAGTAATCACCAACCAACTATTTATCTTTTGTCTATAGATCAGATAACAGTGGTAATTCGAACATTCGATTATTATTATTATTATTATGACATTGATAGTGGATACGCAGCATTAAATTACATTGAGTAGACCTTCATCTATCCGAAATTTCTCTAAGACCTGTTACAATCTGTCGAGATGAATAAGTGATGAGAAGTCATGCCTACATTATATTCGAGGATTGTCTTATATTCACTTGCATCATTTGTATGTGTGAGTTTTAGAGACAAATCATGATTATACTGAAAGATGAGTAACAGTCCACCACCAATCATTGTGAATTACATAAAATTAGACTGAATTTTGAACTGTAGTCAAGGGGAAGAGAATGCAGGTAATCTGTGATATGGGTCAGGGAAGGAGACAGTAACTAGCACATTCTACAAGATAGAAAATATTTCACCACCTTGATTAGCATTTATATCAATGTCTACATACTTCATTCTGAGTCATTCATATCAATGGGTCCTATGATATCCAATGATGATTGATATCCTGGACAGTGATTATCTATCTGAAAGCACTTAAGTAAGATACACTTCGTTTTGTTAGAGTTTCCAGTAAGTTGTAGTGAACTTCATTGGTGTTCTCTCACTCACTTACTCACTCTCTCGCTTTTACATACATTTATTGTATCACTCAGCTTACTTTTGCTTTTCTAAGGCTCCTCAGTCTATCTAGCGACATTACACAGATCACGTAATTTTGTCATCTGAAAAAATGTTAGAAGTACTCAACAAATTTGACGTTATGGGTATGACAGTTTCGGATTGTTTGATAGAGGTTCATGTCCTGTTGAAAGCAGTCAATATTATCAGGATTGATTGGCTTACCGTAGTGTGTTATCGAAGAAAATTGGAAAATGGCTACTCAAAACTCGTTGAACATCTGTTCCAAAAATTACTTACCATATTCTACCTTTTGCCGCAAAAGTATGATGATACTAAACAGAATTGACTGACAGTATAAGACAACATGTTTCTACGCTAGTTATTCAAGTACGCTGGAATAAACCTTTCAAAAACCTAATTCACTAATATTATCCTATGTGTCACACTCATATCATCTGTTTGTTTGGTGGTACCTAATCGTGAACCTTCATTATCCCCATAGAGTATAGATTGTTAATCCCAGAGATATGATCGACTGATGAAGCCCTCAAATTTCATGACTTCAAGTGACTAGAGTATAAGTTACACATATGAAACATGTGCTCACTATGTGAACTCAATTTCGTGTGCTACATGCTTGGATGGATGGATGGATGGATCACTGTGATAGGCAGTGTTGACGTTTGATATACTCTATAGCTTTCCGTCATTCTCTAAATGATGTCAGTCAGACCATGTGGAAATTTGGTGTGAAGTAGTGATACACTTGTATCGGATATCTTCAAAATATGACCAATGAAAAGAGAGAGAAGACAACAGTCAGTTTTCGAGACAATTTTATTATCGTTCAAATCAGTAAGTCTTTTGAAATTCAATGAAACATGATTTTTCTCTTCGTTTAATTCGTTGTGATATAGAGCAAACCCTATCCAATTTCTTCCACAAGTGTATGCAGTGGCTGGCAATCTGATTAACGCCGTAGTTCACTACATGTTTGAGAAATACATTTGGAGAAATGTAGCATAATGGACATTCTATTAATAATACTTGGTTGACAGATGATATGTGTGGAGGTATAATTAGCCTCTTCATATCAGAACAGTGACCGTCATTATTATCTTGAGAATGGTTGAAAACATTGAAGATGGAGAATTCGCTTTTGACTGTCTGTCCTGTTAGATTTCATACTCATATTTTGTTCGGCAAGCAAAAGACTTTATTCTTCCTCCTGCTATTCTTCTATTTTCACTATAAAAATAGTTTGGTCCATCACATACAAGGGGCAGCAAAACTACTTTTCGTTGTACTCGTTATAATAGCTGAATGGATCAACAACACTCTCAGAAATAATGTTGAGTATACTTAGTGTTAGTTGTAACACAAATCTGTTGGATGAATGACTAATTCAACATCTATCTACATCTCTGAAAATCAAACTATGACGAAAACAGATTTATTTCATTTATATTTCCCGTCAAGACTGATGGGTCAGATCTTTGAAATTGCTAACGAGAAAAGTGAAAATTGTAGACTGAATAGGATTAAGGGTGTGCGTCTATCATTCAGTCTATGTGTGTGTATGTGTGTGAGGGGAGATAAAGAATGGGAAGTGGAGAAGAGGAAGACTGATTATTCATTTCCTCCTCACTAAAGCAAAAACTAATCTGATCCACCTCTAGCAAAGTTGACCCAAAAGAATTTAATCAATTTTTCATGTCTTCTCATTAAACAGAAATATCACACAGGCAGTCTGTGGAATATAATGCTCACATCACAACACACACACACACACATACCCACACTCACGCCAACAGAATGTAGATTGAAGACAATAAACTAGAAGAAGAACAAAGAGGGAACGAGAAAGTCTGAATTTGTGTGAGTCGTAATCATGCTTCGATTAGTTTAGCTCAGCTCGGCTTAGCTTCGAGCATTTAAGAGAGAGTTCCAGCCCAGGAAAGGTTCTATGCTAGATGATAAACCAATATACAAAAAATCTCACGATATCAGACCTTTTAGAAGTCTTCGATTTAGAAACATTTATCCTTTAGTTACAACGGACTAATACCTTTGTTTTTATTAAACATTGAATTCAGATGAGCCGAGTCACATCATCTTCTTTCATAGTTTAATGTTATTTGATGAATAGCAGCCAGCAGTAGAAGCTGAAATCATATTTCTGTAGTGCATTTTCCTGGTATCAAAATCCGACTAGGGATGAAAATATCGATGAAGTCCAACAAGCTTATTATCAAGTAAGTGAACTTCTAGCTCGCTTCCTGATGCAAAAGGTGTTTTGAGTTGTGGTTTTTAGC